TGTAAAGTACTGGTTCTTGTACACTGCTCTTCTTCTTAATGAGATCTATTATCCTATGAAGTTTCAAGTCCATAGCCTTTATAATTTACATGAAATGGCCATAAATTAACAAAGGTCAAAAACTCAAAAATTAAGAAGTGCAGAGTACCGGTCCTTGTGCACTGCTCTTTAGGTTAGTGAAATAAGCATGCATACCAAGTTTGGAGTCAATCCGACTTATAGTGACCGAGTTATGCACCGAACAAGCCTTGGGCGACACCGATAACGACGCCGCCGACAAAAATAACCCAGATATTTTCAAGGCGACACAATAACAGACATAAAAAGCAAAAATACATTTTTTGACGTTGGTGACCTTGACTTTGACCCACATGACCCTAACTTCACATAAAGGAAGAGGGCCTCCCATAGCAGTTTTTATTGTGCCACAAGTTGAAAACTAAAGATCTTTTACTAGTGCGAGAACTTTACAAATACTGAATAAATCCACAAGCAAACCCAAGGTGCATAAATACACATACTGACCAACATTCTTGCAAACTTTCAGGCCTACAAGTCAAATACTTTTTGAGCTATGCATGAACATGTTGAAAATTGCAAATTTATACTACTGTAAGTCAAGGGCAATAACTCTAACAAAACTGATAAAAAATCCACATGCAAAGTCCCAGGTGCATAGCTTCACAGTGATGTTGATCATTATTCCTGCAATTTAGTGATGTTGATCATTATTCCTGTAAAGTTGGTTGATTTTAATTCAAATTTAATTTAACTCATATTTTCATATTTTTTTACAAGATGAATTTTCGTCTGTTCTATTCTAATTAAGTATTTATATAATACCTTGGTCACAGTTGAATCCATGCCAACCGGCTGTGCACGTGCATGTGTACTCATTTTGTCCATCATGACAAGTGGCACCATTCTTGCATGGGTTACTCGCGCATTCATTTAAATCTGAAATAAAGAACTATATGTATGAACTATGTATGAACATAATCGTCTCTGTTTCCATTAGAGGATTTGTATCATCTATTATGTATCAGTCAGTATTTTCTTGTGGATTTATTCAGTATTTCTAAAACAAATGCAACATTTAATTGGAAAAGAAAGAAAACTGTCATGTGACGTTGCCGTCATTTCCTGTAAACAAAGTATACCTGATGAAGCTTTTTAGTCGAAACATTGTATATTTTTCAAATAAAAACAAGGCAATCTGAAGGACAGCTTAATCCCCTTCTGCAGCAGACATGATTGTTGACATTTAACAGACCATTACCTTGATGTTGTGCCATGTATATTATAAACATATAAGTCTCGTGTAGTAATTATGTGTGTGTTTAAGTGTGTTAAGTTTTATGACTCTCGGTCAAATACTTTTTGAGTTACGTGCGACACGAAAGAGAACGGATTGACGGATGGACGGACGAACGGACGGACGCACAAGGGTAAATCTAAATGCCCCTCCCCCCCCCCCCCCGCTTAAAGTGCGGGGGGGCCAGAATAAAACTTAATTAATATTTTTTTACAAGATAATTTTTCGTCTGTTCTATTCTAATTAAGTATTTATATAATACCTTGGTCACAGTTGAATCCATGCCAACCGGCTATGCACGTGCATGTGTACTCATTTTGTCCATTATGACAAGTGGCACCATTCTTGCATGGGTTACTCGCGCATTCATTTAAATCTGAAATAAAGAACTATATGTATAAACATAATCGTCTCTGTTTCTATTAGAGGATTTGTATGATCTACGAGGGGTGTCCCAGAATTACGTGGACTTTTGCTATAACTTTTTTTTATTTTTTAATGCATTTTTTAGTAAATTTGTACACAATACCTTTAACATATCCTTAATGAATATGTCCATTATTTTTAAATTTCTAACATTGCTTCTCTATATTTTACGTCGCTATAGTAACGCAGTATGCGCAGGGCGGGTCAGTCCAATAATTTGTATTAATAAGTTGTCTTTACTTTCGTATATCTTGCGTATTTATACGTAAAAAATAGCGCGACGTGGTAAGCATATGCAGTGACGTCATATGAACGTTCGTTTGAAATTTTGACGTCATAGCTGTTTCCGTTATTGTTTACCAGCGGACAACTGACAACCGTTGCTCTTGGATATTTAACAAAAAATGACGTCCACGGATTACGCGGAACATCGGACTATCATCAAGTTTTGTGTTAATCTTAGGAAGACGCCAACACAAACGCAGGAAATGTTGGAGACTGCAAAAGTGAGACCTCTTGTTTGTCGAGCACTCGTTTTCAAGTGGCATAAGCGTTTTCGAGACGGCCGGGAGGACATTGAAGACGACAAGGGTCGTGGGAGAAAGTCAACGTTGACTGCGGCGTCAATTAAGGAAGTCAAGGACTATAATAATAAAAAGAATAATAATAATAATAATAATAATAATAAAAATAATAATGATAAATAATTATAATAATAATAATACGGCGCCAGCATTATTATATTATAGACATAACTTAAGATATATCCAACATGCTGTTTAAGGCTAAACTCGTACGGACAGACGGACGGACGGAGGAACGGTTCATTACTATATGCCCAGGTTTATAAAAATGGACATATTTTCAGTAAATATTCTAGATATTGATAAAAACTAAAAATATGTCTATAGGAAACGGGTGCCCCCACCGCGCCACTGTTCTGTCCATCTTATGACTCTAGGTCAAATATTTTTTGGACTACATGTGCCACAAGTTGAAAACTAAAGATCTTTTACTAGTGCGAGAACTTCCTGTAAACAAAGTATACCTGATGAAGCTTTTTAGTCGAAACATTGTGTATTTTTCAAATAAAAACAAGGCAATCTGGAGGACAGCTTAATCCCCTTCTGCAGCAGACATGATTGTTGACATTTAACAGACCATTACCTTGATGTTGTGTCATGTATATTATAAACATATGGCTCGTGTAGTAATTATGTGTGTCTTAAAGTGTGTTAAGTTTTATGACTCTAGGTCAAATACTTTTTGAGTTACGTGCGACACGAAAGAGAACGGATTGACGGATGGACGAACGGACGGACAAGGGTAAATCTAAATGCCCCCCCCCCCGCTTAAAGTGCGGGGGGCACAAAAATAAAACTTAATTAATATTTTTTTACAAGATAATATTTCGTCTGTTCTATTCTAATTAAGTATTTATATAATACCTTGGTCACAGTTGAATCCATGCCAACCGGCTATGCACGTGCATGTGTACTCATTTTGTCCATTATGACAAGTGGCACCATTCTTGCATGGGTTACTCGCGCATTTATTTAAATCTGAAATAAAGAACTATATGTATAAACATAATCGTCTCTGTTTCTATTAGAGGATTTGTATGATCTATTATGTATCAGACAGTATTTTTGTGGATTTATTCAGTATTTTCTAAAACAAATGCAACCTTTGATTTGAAAAGAAAGAAAACTGTCAAATTGAAACTAGTGTCCATGAAAAAGTAACAAATGCCCATCAATATATATAATTTTTCTGTATGCCCATCCTTTACTATGCATAATTTATTCATAACCACATAGTTTCATGATGGTGATTATTTTGTGCCAAGTTATATGAAACATCTTCCAATTAAAAAAAAAAAATATGGAGAACATACAACCTTGAACCTTGGGGGTAGCAACAGGGATGTTGAACTCTGCAGTTTGTGTCATGGTGGTGATCATTTGTGTCAAGTAAGTTTAAAACCTTTGAATTGTCAATAAGTTATAGAGCGGACATGAAAAATAGATGTTTGTGTCATGGTGGTGATCATTTGTGTCAAGTAAGTTTAAAACCTTTGAATTGTCAATAAGTTATAGAGCGGACATGAAAAATAGATGTTTTTTACATTGGACCTTGTGTGACCCTGACCTTCAGGGTTGTGACTCTTATTATTGTGTTCTGCAAATGGTGTTATAATGGTGATCATTTCTGCCAAGTTATCTTAAAAACATTGCAGCGGTTTAAATGTTATTGACAGACACGAAATGAGGACTTTCAAACATTTGACCTGTTAGTGTGACTTTGACCTTGGGTATAACAATTCAATTATTGCGCTCTGCACATCGTCTCATAATGGTGATCACTCAGGTGCCAAGTTATTTTTTTTAAAAATCAGCGGTTTTAAATTTATGGAGCAGACACGAATTGTACACCTTTGAACACTTGATCTTTAAGTGTGACCTTGACCTTGGGGGTAGCAACCCAATTATTGCGCTATGCACACTGTCTTATTTTGGTTATCACTTGTGGCAAGTTTTTTCCAAAGAAAAATCAGCAATTTAGAAGTTATGGAACGGACACAAAATGTAGATTTTTTATTATGAAATGAAGACTTTTTAACATTTGACCTTCAAGTGTGACCTTGACCTTGGAGGTAGCAATCAAATTATTGCGCCCTGCACATTGTCTCATTATGGTGAGAACTTGTGCAAAGTTATTTCAAACTTTTTTAGCAGTTTAAAAGTTATAGAGCGGACACAAAATGTAGACTTTTTTATAAAATGAAGACTTTTAAACATTTGACCTTCAAGTGTGACCTTGATTTTGGAGGTAGCAATCAAATTATTGCGCTCTGCACATTGTCTTATTATGGTGATTACTTGTGCCAAGTTATTTTCAAAAAAATTCAATTCAGTGGGTTTTTAAATTTATGGAGGGACACGTTAGCGTTATGGAGTGCAGATGGACAGAACACGAAGGACAGACGACGGACTGGCAGACGGGGGCCATTCTATTCCTTTCCGCTAACTAAGGGGATAAAAAAAAAAACAAAAGGGCAAAAAATTAAAAAAAAAGAAGTGCGAGTACAGTTTTGTTCATGCATTCTTCTAAATATGTTATATATCTATTAAGTTTCAGTCATCTTTTATACATGTATGGAATGGCCGGACAAAAAAAGATGACAATTTAATAAAGGGCTACTCAAGAAAAAAAGTGTAAATACTGGTTTTGTACCTGCTTTCTTCTTAATGGTCTTATCTATGAGTTTTCAATCCATAGCTTTATAATTTAACATGAAATGGCCATAAAATTAACAAAGGTCAAAACTCAAAAAAAAGAAGTGGAGTCCGGTCCTTGTGCATGCTTTAGG